CCCACCTGCTCCCTGAGGGCAGGAAGGGACACTGTTTGCTCACTATCAACCCGGCTCAGTCTTACCTATCCCTCAAGACCCTGCTCAAGCCTCTCTCTGGGAAGCCCCTTTGAGTCCTCGCTTTGTCAATCCATGAGTCAGAGCAGACCTCTACTGTGGCATTCACTGAGCCACCCCATGATGATTTGCTCACATATCCATCTCACCACCACTTTGTGATGGCGAGAGCCTCATACTCCCCTCCACCCAGCACATGGCTCCAGCAATCACAGAGCCCTGCCCCCTGCATAGTCAGCACGCCTTTGCTTTGTCAGCTGTGTGCCTCTGACTGTTGCCCTGCCAATCAACAAATCTAGCTGCACACAGTTCCTCTATTCCATTATGCAAAGAGGGTCTCACACCTCTGGGCTTTCTATAGATTATGCAAAAACACCATTTTAATATCTCCTTCCTCTTTGACTCATGTGTTTTTGTTAGGCCTTTCTCGTATCTATGGTGAGGAACAACGTTTTTGTTTTCTAATTATTAAAGAGTGTTAACAGTACATTAAAGGTATGAAGAATAAGTGGGCACCCACGAACACACTCAAGTAAATATATCTGAAGATATAACATGGGACTCGGGCATATGGGCCTTTTCTTTGGAGAAGGACCAACACCACTCGAGGCCTTTCAGATATGCTCATGTCTTTCCAGGGAGCTGAAAAATCTATTCCAAACCATGCATACAGCCAGGACATAACCTGATGTGTTCATGAACCCTCTTCCATCTGGAGGTGGGGCTCTTCAGCAAATGCATCAAGAAGTCAATTCAATCTGTCCTTCCTATCCCTTCTGCGGACCAGGCCTGGAGCAAAGGATGGGTTTGAATATGAATAGATCTTTTTTTTTTTTTTTTATGAATAGATCATGATTCATAAGCTCGAGGGACTCACAGGAAGTGGATGACTTGAAGATGTCAATAAACATTTGTGATACAGTGTGATAGGAGCTACAGCAAAGATGGATGTGTGGAGTGGGGGAAAAGCCTCTGACTCACACTTAGGGCATGGGGGAAGGCTTCCTGGAGGAGGCGGCATTGCCCTGCCTTGGAAGCATAGCACATGCAATGCATGATGGGTTCATAGTGCTGGTGGGGAACTGCAGGTGGTTCCACCTGTCTGGAGCAAAAGGAGGGAGTGAGCAGTGGTAGGAGATGTGGCCAGAGTGAAGTCACGAAGGCCTTGTGTGCTAAGCTGAGGAGCATGAATCTTCTGAGAGCAGGAGGCAGCCATTGCAGGGTTCGAAGCCGAAAGACCTGGAAAAGCCTGCGAAGTGGCCTGCGGATGAACTGGAAGGAGTAAAAACGAGAAGGCAGTGGCAGGACCAAGGTGAGAAGCCATGAGAGTGTGAACCAAGGAGGTGGCATGGGGTGGGCGGGGGGGTGGGCATTGCAAGTGAGCAGAGGTAGGGCTCAGGGTAGCTCTTTAGATATGGGAGTTGTAAGTGGAAGGGAAATGACCCTACAGAATCTACAGGCATGAAAGAGAGTGGAAGTAAAAAGAAGGTCATACAAGAGTGGGGGACGGATAACAGGGCCTCTGATCACTGAGGTGACATGGAGTCGTGGATGTCCATCTTAGCACCAAACCAGGAAGGAGTTGACCATACCTCCATACATGGGCCTTGGTGAAGTAGCTCAATCTCCAGTAAATTTGATTCAACTTTAAAACTTTGGAAGTTTCTCTATTTTAAAAAATGAAAGTAACTATATAGCTTAATAAATCAAGTAGTCATTTATGAAAAATATTGCCTATTCCCCTTTCCCGATCTCCTGATTCCCTCAGACAACGCTTTTGGCATTTATCTCCAAGCTCTAAATAACATGAATATACTGATACTTTCTGATTTTTTCCATGTTGGGTATTTACGGACCATAGCTTTTCCCATATGACAGCTTCATCCCTACCACACATACATGATCACTTCCTATTACCCTTTCTTCCGATAAAGGAAGTTGTACCAACCAAAATCAGAGTTCTACAATGTGAACTTTGAGCGTCACATTATTACGCTTGTGTCCGTACCATGCACAGCTCGGTCACTTATGGTATGCCATCAGTTTCCCCTTTCCCCTACAGAGTACCAGAGTTAGTATTAGTCTTGCCCCCTTTATTTGGTTATAGTCACTAGTTCACCCTTCATTCTTCCCCACTTGGGTAAAATTCCTCTTAAGATTTTCAAACATAATTCCATCAGTGCCATCTTGAGTAAATCCTTCCTGAGGTCGTCTGACTAGCTTTAACTTGAGCAGGCTGCTTCCTGCCCTGGCACATTGCCCACAGACTACCTGGGACTTTTGTTTAGCTTGGTGCTTCCCATGGCCTGCTCTTGTGTTGGAGTCCCTGTTCCCTTGATCTTACATTTACTCTTTCTAGGTTTTCTCCCTTGCTTTTGTGAAGCACATCCTTTAGCTCCTCCTGAGATGGAGGATAAGGCAGGAAATACTTTTCCCTCTGAAGGCATTGTTCTGCTGACTTCCAGTTTCTAGGCTTGGTAACTGTGATGACATTTTGATTTTTTCTTCTTTTTGAAAACTTTCTATGCAACCAGTTTTTTGTTTCTCTGTTCTATAAGATCTCCTCTTTGTCTTCAGTTTTCTGAAATTCCATGATGATGCATAATTCAGTTGGAGTCTACAGACAAGCATTGAGGACAAAGGCAATATAGTTTATTACACTAAACGCTCTAGGGTTATAGATATACACAAGTCCTTGGAGAGCTAGAAATCCGTGGGAAGCATGGGAGACAAGACAAACAGAATATGGATGAGCATACTGGAATGATCCAGAGGTTCAGCCTGGTTCGTTTTACTGGAAATTTAGTTTCCCCCTGCACTCAATAAGCTCCATGTCTCCCACATGTGCGCCTGTTTAACTGGTAGGAGGCTAAGAAGAAGGTTTAACACTTTGACTTCAAGTCCTGCTCTTACGGCCAGGATCTCTGTTAGCCACCAGGGGGCAGACTTTGCTACCATCCTGCAGAATACTTCTGCTCAATGCCCATGTCCCTGGGGTTAGTTGGGATAGAAGGAAGAACCAGAGCTCCTTTCCAGACAGAAATCCCTAAAATGTACGTCTCAATTTCCTTCAAGGTGGACCTATAGATACCTGTAGATAGAGCACATAAGTAGACATAACACGTAGCAAGCTGCAAGTGTGTGTTCTAGGGATGAACACGAATATTCTTATGTAATATCTACCTAGTATCTGAGAACTGTCCACTGTCTGGTGGGACTCAGCCTGGAGTCAGCACTCCTACAGTGGCTGCCAGGACATCAACACTATTATTCTCAAAAACAATTTATGCCCATTTTCTTAACTCAGCAGCCCTCTGAGTCAGAGATGTTTTAATGCTCATGTGATAGACATAGAGAGATCAAACAGCTTGCCCAGAATTCTGTGCTGCCCACAGCCTGCACTCGAGTCACTGAGACTTATGGCTCTTCAGGCCAGCTTAAGAAAGTACCCTGCTTCTAAGAACCTAATTTGTCTTTTCTGTAAAATGAGGCAGAGGGCTGGGGACTTAGCTCAGTCGTGGAGCATGTGCTTAGCATGTTCAAACTCTAGAACCATAAAAAAAAAAAAGGCAAGCAATAGTGACTACATCAAGGAATTCATGTGATTCATGGAATTCATGTGTTAAATGAGATCTAAACAGTGCGCATTTGTTGCAGTAGGATCGCTGACATTCATGGAATGTTTTCTATCAGCCTGGGAGTTTCTGGTCGCTTTCCTATATTAGTTAATTCAAGCTTCAAGCAACGCTGGGAGATAGGCACTAGTATTTCACCACCCCCATTTTATAGGGGAAGAAGTGGAGACTTTGATCTACACACCTAGGCCTCTCTAAGCCGGATTTTGAACCAGGGGAGCATTTGGGCTCTTTATCACTACTGCTGCCCTACAGGCCTAGCCTTCTGGCTGCGAAGAGTTAAGGGTTTTTCCCCTGGAATGGACTGGCACCGGCAGGTGGCAGCCTAGGACTATGTGGGTGCTAGAACCCCTTCCAAGACCACGCCCCCAGAGCCAAAGCAGTGCAAGGCAATTTCACCATCCGGCCGTGACAGCTTCACAGAAGTCTCCTACACCCCACCCTCGGGTCCTCACGTCGGAGGCCGCAGGGACCCGTCAGGAAATGATAGCCCTACTTTAGTTCAAACGAGTGCTCCAAGATAAGACCACGTGCGCAGGGAAAGGAGCCGGAGAACGAGTTTCACGCATCCTCCTTTAGCCCAGAAGCGCCAACAGGACGGAAAAGTCGACAAATCTCTTAGGCTGAAAGCTCGGCGAGGGCCCGGGAGCCCAGCCAAGGGGAAGAAAGTCGGGAATCCGTGTTGGATTCCACAGAGCACTTTGGGGACACCGAGCTCATTGCACGCGCGCAGGACACTCGGATCCGCACGGAGGAAGACTGTTTTCCCTGAAGAGCGCAAGGGGTCTTCTAGCGGGGTCATGGATTTAGGTGATGGGGGATGAATTTCAGGGGCAGTACAGGAGCTGTGAGGCCAACCGGACGGTTTCCATGGCACCCGGGCCGTGTGAGGAATGCACCCCACAAACTGTGGCGAAACAACTGCTCTGCCCCAAGGGCCGGGTCTAGAAGGCGGGAGAGACGGGGTGGGAGGGAGTCGGGGGGTGGGGGAAGCCGGGCAGGCCGGGGGGCGGGGCGGTCACGTGCGCCCAAGGGGGCGAGGCCCCGAGCCTGCCCGGGAGCGAACAGCCGGCAGAGTGGCTGGGCAAGGAGAAGGAACTTTTTTCCAGGACGGAAAACGCCTTTGGGGGAAAGGCAGAAACAGCCAAAAGCGGGCTGAGGTGTCTGCGGCCGGCTAGGGGACAACGACTGTCGCGGGCAGGGATCGAGAGTTCTAAGGAAAAGTGAGAAGAGTTTGGGAGTGAGCGCAGGAAACCCCATTCGCTGCTTTTACGCAGCTGCAGAACTCTATTCCTTCTGGGACAGGGTTGCACTCTTGGAAAGTGTTCCATCAGCCGTAGGGGACCAGCCAAAAGGCCACTGCCCCTTCAGACTGCAGGAGTCGGCACGTGTCCAGAGCAACAGGGGAGGCTGTGGTTATGGTGAATGAAGATCCTAACCCGGTGGAGCGCGATGACAACCCTGCGCAGGAGTCCGCACTCCAAAAGGACCCCTCCTTCTCCGCTGCCCCCAGCGTCTCCGTCCATCCAAGCGTCTCTGTCCACCCCAGCGTCTCTGTCCACCCCAACGTCTCCATTCAGCCCAGCACCTCCGCCCACCCCAGCAGTTCGGCCCAACCCAGTGGTTTGACCCACCCGAGTAGCTCGGGCCCCGAGGACCTCGGCGTGATCAAGGTGAGCAGGCGCCGTTGGCTGGTGGTCCTGGTGTTCAGCTGCTACTCCATGTGTAATGCCTTTCAGTGGATCCAGTACGGCTCCATCAATAACATCTTCATGAACTTCTACGGGGTCAGCACCTTTGCCATCGACTGGCTGTCCATGTGCTACATGCTCACTTACATCCCTCTGCTCCTGCCTGTGGCCTGGCTGTTGGAGAAATTCGGTCTGCGCACCATTGCCCTCACCGGCTCGGCTCTCAACTGCCTAGGGGCCTGGGTGAAGTTGGGTAGTCTGCAGCCCCATCTTTTCCCAGTCACCGTGGTGGGCCAGGTCATTTGCTCCGTGGCCCAGGTCTTCATCCTGGGAATGCCCTCTCGCATCGCTTCAGTCTGGTTCGGCGCTGATGAGGTTTCCACAGCCTGTTCGGTGGCTGTCTTTGGCAATCAGGTGAGTAGAGGAGTTTGTGAATGGATGTTCAAAGCAGAGTGCATCTTACCATGGTTAGACTGAGTGTATTAGATTATACTAACTGTACCCCACCGTGTGGGAGGCTGTAATTTTCTGACCAACAGCCTTTATGACTCTGGGTGGCTTTGTGGTTGGGTGTGACAGTGTGGTTGGGTGATTGTGACTGTCAGTGACATTGCAAAACCAGTCGGGATGAAAAGCAGGTGGCCTTTTCTTTCATCTACAGTGTCTCCTCCCCCAGCACAAAGCATGCTTCTAGAACAGGGTCCTATTTGAGTGGTGTCACTCCTGAACCTGTGTCAGTCCACCAATCTCCACCTGTGACTTCAGGAATGCTGCTCTTTTTTTTGGCTGCAGCCCTGGGCATTAGACTGTTCTGGTGTCATCAGAACTTGGCAGGTGTTTTTAGCTGGACCAAACAACTTTCCTAGAGTGCTACATCCCCTGGGCTGCATGAGTAGAATTGCAGGGCCAGGTCTGGTGTGCTTGGCACTGTTCTAACCTTCCTTTACACAACTGAAGCCAGGACACTGGCACAGAGCTTTGTGACAAATCCAGAGGGATGGAGTAGAAGTGTCACTCTGAATTTCCAAGAAGGCTTCTAGCATAAATAGTTCATATCTTAATCCTTTCTTCTTTCTTCTTTTGGAAAAGAGAATCCCAAATTCTTTCCAGAAACCTGGCCTTCTTATGAATTTGCTCTCTCCAAATATTAAAAGAGCAAATACTTATAGGGTCTTTCTTTAGCAAGACATGGCCTCTTTCATTTTTTTTCTTCCCAAGCTCATAAGACATGGCCTCTTTCATTTTTTTTTCTTTCCAAGCTTGTACATCCTGGTTTTATGTTTGGTAAGTTACCAGCAGTTCTTCATTCCCATAGGCCTGTTTTCTCTTACCTGTTCATAAGTTTCATTTAGAAAATACAACCTTTCATTTACAAATTTTTCATTTGGGAAAGAAACTTGCCAAAACTTCTCTAAAAGCAAATTTCTGTTATGTTCATCTTCACCACCATGAAGGTAACTTGAGTTCAAGTTCCCCCTACCCATGGGTTCTGCACTTGATAATAGAATAAGCAATCAATGAAAGCAAACAGAGAGACCAACTTTAGCACATAAAAAGCAACAAAAAATCCCTTACATGGTTTTCACTTAGAAGTTTGGATTTTTCGAAAATTGAATTGATTTAAGGGCTGGAGGAGAAAGTAGGTGGATATTTTGTTTCCGACAATTAGGTATTGAGAATGACATTTATTGATCCCCTCCCCTCTAAGGTGACGTGGTTGTGGATTTTAATGTAATTATTGTACCTCCCCCAGGTGAGTTGCACTATTGGGTTTCTGCTTTTTTAGACGCTAATGCTGGGGGGTGAGGGTGGAGCTTCCAACCTCCCCCCCCCCACCCATGGTTAGGTGGTTAGGTAGCAGCAGAGCAGGAGTCATACAGCCTCACATAATCCCAGACCTGCTGTTTGGGAAGCACAGGATTGCAACCTGGAAGGAGACCTCCCAGTTTGCCTGGCTCCGTGGAAATGGTGGATCCTAATACTTTTTTTGTTAACCATAAAGCCCAAAGCAACAAGTTTCCACTCCCTTGTCACACACTAATGAAGGAGCTTAATTCTAGATAGGTCTTTAACATTTAATAGGAACAATTAGTCACTTCCCACTCTACCCACTCTGCAAACACGGAGAGGAAATGATAAGGATTTTACACTTATAACCCCTCTCCCAGGTATATTTGCATTATGGAGACATCTGTTTGGTTTTATGTCTTAGGTTTAATCCTCTGTGCTAAGCTCAACATGAACTGAATTGTTCAGACTTCCTCACAGAGAGATGAGTGTGTTTGTTTTTCTGTGTTTTGACCTTTTTCTGGGTAAAGCATGGCTGAATGGGGGAGAAATATTAACAGAGCATCTGGAGCTTTGCAGCTTAGAAAAAAGACTCTACAGAGCTGTCTAAACAGACTTCAGATTTCATTCCTCATGATAATTCTTCATGGCCTGCAAACTTAACTTTGACCTTGCCCGAGCAGATCGTCATAACTCCTGTTCCTGTCTCAACCAAAACTAAAAAAGACTGGAGGTGTGGCTCTAAGAGTACCGTCTCTACCTAGCAGATGCAAGGCCCTGAGTTCAAATCCTAGAACCATGGGGGTGGGGAAAGGGTACAACAATCAGAGACATACTCTGAAGAGTACTGATAGTGATTAGTAAATAGCAGAACATTACATGGAAATAGCATGCCACAGTAATCTGTAGCTCTTCAAAGACACGAGTGAGGAGTATTCATCAGATATTTTGAAACAATAGTCCTTGGCCACAGTGATCAATAGCCAACAATAACAAGTGTGGGTTGAGGTTGAACAGATAGCTGCTGGGCATAGCCAACAATAACAAGTGAAATATTAACAGAGCATCTGGAGCTTTGCAGCTTAGAAAAAAGACTCTACAGAGCGTCTAAACAGACTCAGATTTCATCCTCATGATAATTCTTCATGGCCTGCAAACTTAATTGACCTTGCCCGAGCAGATCGTCATAACTCCTGTTCCTGTCTCAACCAAAACTAAAAAAGACTGGAGGTGTGGCTCTAGAGTACCGTCTCTACTAGCAGATGCAAGGCCCTGAGTTCAAATCCAGAACCATGGGGGGGGAAAGGTACAACAATCAGTTACTTTCAGTTCTCCTTGAGGCTTTTGATATTTTCTCTGCCTGATTGCTACAGGAAAGGATGAAGAAAGGGGAAAGCATCTAATATTTATTAAGCACATATTCATCTATTATTTAACTTAATCCCTCCAACAACTCTGTGACCTAGGAATTGTCCCCATTGTTACAGATGAGGCAACTAAGACCCCTATAAACGAAACGCCCTTATCCAGGGTCCTGAAACTACGGAGTGGTAAAAGATTTGAACCCAGCTCCAAAAGCCCATGTCAGTAAGCCAATATCTAGCTTCAAGTGGATAAACAATATACATTTTTAAAAGAAAAACAATAGTGAGAGTTGGTGTGTAGCTCAGTAGAAGGGTACTTGTTTGGCATGTACACTAGGCCCTGAGTTCAATCTCCAGCACCACACACACAAAAAGTGGGATTCTGAGGTTCTAATTTTTACCTCTTGTGTCTTGAGAGTTCTTCCTAATAACAAAGTGCCCAGCAGCTTTCTTCAGAGTCTGCGGGCTTAGCCCTTGTCTGTCTACAGGGCGAATTCTGCCTCTTTTAACTTACCATGGTAGCTCTGCCTAGTCAGGAAAGCCGGGCTGAGGCTCAGGGGGTCCACATTCACTGGGGGAGCGTGGGGGACAACCTTGAAGCCTCAAGACTGCAATGAGGCTCTCCCCTTTTCTTGGTAAGCTCTGACCACTTGCTCCCAGGTAGGAACAGCCTGGCATTCTTTTTTTAAGTAACACTTGTAGCATTGTTTCAAAGGAAAGCCATCTGTGTGGGTTTTGAGTGACATGAACACACTGTTATTGCAGGAGGCTTAGAAGGAAGCCTTGTGTTAGAGTCTGAGAGCTTGGTGGCCCAGAAAGAGATAGATTTAAGACTAAGATCTTCAAGGTCAGCTTCAGTCCAGATGGGAGGGACTTCCCCAAGAACCTTTTGGAACTGCCCAGCACAGTGCCACCCAGAAATAGAGAAGGAGAGAGTCAGCTTGCTTTTAGAGGGAAAGAAAATATAATGACCTTATAGATCCAGTCCTGTAGAAGCCACAGTTAGCTGTCTTAAATAGCACTGGCCAACAGAAATATAATACTAACCACACATGCAAGCCACACATGTAACTAATTTTCTAGTAGCTACATTAATAATGCAAATGCAAAAAGCAAAAAGAACAAAGGAAATTAGTTTTAATAATGTATCTTATTTAATCCAATATATCCAAGATATTATTTCAACTTGTTATCAATATAATAAAATAAATAGTGTGCTAGTTTACATCCTTTTTTTTTTTTTCTTGTGGAGGTAGGCATCAAACCCAAGGCCTCAGCTGGGTGTGGTGGCACATATCTATAATCCTAGCATTTGGGAAACTGAGGCAGAAGGATCAAGAGTTCGAGACTAGTCTGGGCTATGTGGTGAGACACTATCTCAAAATAAAAAAACAAAAACAAAAATGCCACCCCAAGGTGCCTTGCATGCTAGGCGAGCACTCTACCACTGAGCTACATGCCCAACTCTACATTTTTTGTGTTACTAAGTCCTTGGAAGCTCGTAGACCGCCACGCCTTTCTGGGTAAGCTGTGACTGGGCCTTGCTCCTTAACTAGGTAGACGTGGCGGTCTGGAACAGTGATGGCAATTCAGCAGTGGAAATAGATCCAGCAGATGAGCGAGATGAGCTGCCAGAAGGCAGCTCCGGTCTTGATGAGGCTGTGCTCGCTGGACTGGCTGATCGTGTGGTGTCACCCAGAGAAGCTGAGAGATTCTGAGGTTGATTTAGGAGCCAGAGTCAGAAGGCTGTGGTCAGCCTACTCTTGCTCCAAAATTGTGGTCACTTGGGTATGTAAAGTCCACATTTACTCTTGGATCTCCTGGTGTCGTGAAATTTTGGGAGGTGAAGGCAAAGTCCTTTGTTCACGTTCACTGATTGTCAGTGGAATGCCACACAAATGCTTGTGCACTTGACTCTTTTTGGCCTCCCATAATGCACTGGAAGATTGGACAAGGTAGGGCTGGGAGTGCAAAACAAGGCTGGTAATAACTGAAAGGAAGTGGAGAGGGTCCAGGACCACCCTTTCAAATGCACATGGTGCCAGCCAGGTCATATAAGTGAGTGAGGTGGGCCTACTAAAGATGACATTGTGTGGTCCCCGTGGGTGTAAGGGCACATGTCCCTCCAAAGACAATAGCACTAACTCCTGTCAATTGTTGTTACACGAAGCATGATCCAGTGTTGTTAGAACTTGGTTTCTTTTTGTCTTTAAAGAGAAACCACAACCTGGATTTTTGTATGGGATCTATTTTTGTATTTTT